GGGGGGGGGGCGTAGATGTGCAAATGAGTCCACGATAATGTCGAAGATTTCCCGCCTACTCCAGGTACACCGTTCACAGCGCCGGCCGGAACGGCACGCCACGCTCCGGGTCCAGCTCCTGCGTGCGAAAGCAGCGGAAGTGTGTCGCCTTCAGGTTGGGGAATGCCGCGATCACGCCAAGGCCTAGAGGTTTGCCACACACCGAACAAGGTCGCTTCTCGTCAACGTACACACACCGCTGACGCAACAAGGAGTGATAACGCTGCGCGTCCGCCACCATAGACGCCGCTACGTTTGCGTTTACTTCAGCCATTTGTACCTGGCTACACAAGGTCTGAAACGCGCGCCGCATGTAAGACGATATTTCAGCGACGCACACTTCACTCGGTAGCGAGGTCATAACAGAGAGGGGATTGATACAATGTGAGTGCTCGTTCAGGACCGCGAGGGCTGCTGAGAGCTGTCGTTGCTTTCCCGCTGGAGGGACGAGCAGTACGTGAAGGAGGAGGTTGAAGTACTCGTTTGAGGTACGACTGCCTTGAAAAGCATATGTTTGACCTGCTAAGTGAACTGTGTCATCCCTGTCTGTCAAAAGCTCCTCTCTCTGCTTACTGCAGAGTGTCTGAGGGCCGTGTGCGTTGCTGCCGCTACCCTCAGTCGGGCAGTGTACGCGGTTGCCAACGCGCTGGAGGTCCCGTGCGTGCTGTACCTCACAGTACCGTGCAGCAGCAGAAACATCGTCGAGTTCGTACACCAGCTTCGTTAAGGCACCAAGGTGGTCACCAGCCTGCTCCAGCGCCAGCACCTGCTCTTCAACCAAGCCAGCATCAACAAGAAAGGAAAGCACAACATTGGCTTCATAGTGTGAGCTTAATTGAAGAAACGTCAGCAATGCGCGCCGCGCTGCGCCACGAATGCCGGACTCTTCCCCCGCCACAACCTTAATGATGCTTGCCTTCATACCCTCCACACCAAACGGCTGGAGGGTGCGGATAATATCAATGAGGTTCGTCGCGTACAACGTGTGTAGCCGGGGCTCGGTGTTATTGTCCACAAAGATAAGATAATGCAGATACTCGTGCAGTGGATAGCCACCGTAACCAAGGAGCATTGGAAGAATGAGCGACACAGGTGGTGGACGCCGCTGCGGCCGCACCACAGCTACGAGCGCGGCATTGGTGTCAACGCTTAGCATCCAAGGCATGTAGCGCAGGTACAGCTGCTCATCGCCGCTCATCTGCAGCACGACAGCCGCCTCGTACACGAGCCTCTGTAATTGGCAGCGTTCCAGTGCTTCTGTGAACCGTCCGTCAGAAGCCAGAACTAAAGGCACAATCATTGGCTTTGGACGGACTCCATCTTCTCCAACGTAGCGCAGGCATTCGTCTGGCGCCAATGTTGATGAAAATAGAAACATATCCGTTAGTTCCTTGTCCGTGTAGGGTACACACTCCAGCACGTATAAAAGAAAAATAGCAAATTCAGTGGCCCGTTGCTCCTCTGTGCCGCTACCAAGGCCAACTGAACGGCGTTGCAACAACAACTCGTACAGTCGACGGTACGCCTCACCACTGCTGAATGAGAGTGTAACCCTTCCATCTAATCTCTGCGTATCTTTTTTCGGGCGCTGCAGCTCCGGCACAAACGCCAGTAACTCTGCAGTGGGCGTTGCCGCCAAGTTAAAGTAACGAAATGCCTCAGTGTACCGCTTGCCCATCAACGCATGATGGGCACACGCGTAGTAGACGCGCCGCAGCTGGGCATCATCCTCCGCATCGAACGCGTGATCGGAGTAACGCAGGGCACGCTCGTACAACCCGGCGTTTATATAGAGCGCCCTCACTGTTTTCCTTGGCATTAGCACCAAGAACTGCACACTGTGTGCACACACACCGTACACGCCGAGGGGTGTGGAGTGCACATGGAACGGCACTCCGACGAATCCGAAGGAAGAGGATGAGGGTGAGGAGGAGACGGAAGCAGAGCTACTGGGAAAATCCTCATTGTCCAACCACGACTGCATCAGCACACCTCCGTCCTTTTTGACGCCAATGAGAAATGGAGGGGCCCATGCAACATCCACAACGGGCCCTGACATCATCACGGGTGTAGCGGCCTCCAGATCCGTCTCTATTGTCGCGTCGAACAACGCGAGTCGACAATCCCCTTTTCGGATTAAAACATACGAACCTTCACTTTGCCCATTCACGTAACGACACAAAGGTCCCTGTGAAAGCACTCCATCCACCACCATCCGCTGCCGTAATTGGCGTGTGTTCGCATCGAACACGGAATACTCTCGTGAACTACCTGTTATAATCGAGTCGCCCTGCCAGACCATGACCTGGGTGCCATCCGGCACCACGATGTGAGGGCATTCCACAGTAGCAGCAGCAGCAGCAGCAGCAGAAACTACCCCATCCTCGGAACCACTTCCAATAATGTATGCCCTACGTTCTGTGTACCCCACGAGGACAATCCAACGCTTAATAAGTAACGCCAGACGCTGTTCTTGTTGTTGTTGCTTTTCTTGAAGTGGTAGTAGTTCGTCTCCCTGGGCCCGGGCCACGCAACACGCTGCAGCGGGTCCAGGAGGCAGAGGGAGATGCTGGAAAATTCCCATGCTATTCAAATTACCATAATGCAGCACGTCAAGTGTGCCATTCGCAAGGACCAGCAACTGGGGTGTTGATGACTTCCTGTTCACGTCAAGGAAGGTGACCCCATCCGCATTGGCGCTTTTGTCGTCCTTGCCACCGCCACCAACACCATCGCCACCGCTTTTCATGCCACCTCCATACAATGAGGCGAGGACTTTCCTATGCAGAAAGACTGTACTCACATCGTGGTGCACTTCCTCCCTGTCAAGGCGGGCCACAACGCGGTAGACATGCAGCGTGCTGTCGGAGCATCCGACGTAAAGAAGACTCTGCAACTCCTCGTTGGGGAACAGGTGTGTTTCGCGTAGCACCGGCTCCTTGCTGCTGCGCTCGAGTGGCAGCACCACCGCAACGTTCACGTGTATTTTTTCACGTGAAGGAGTGAAGAGTGTCTTCCGCTCCATTTCGCCATACACACACTCACGCACACACACACACACACACACACAGATCGTTTTGTTTCTTTTTTCGATCCGCTCTACCCTTGTTGTGAGGTGGCTAAAAACAGACAGAGAGAGTGGCCAGATTGAGAAGCGCGAGAACGGCGTTGAACACCAGCCGGGGGGGGGCGAGAAAACAACGCGCGAATGCCCCATTCGATGACTACAGGAATGCGACAGAGAGGGTGAAGCTGCAGTCAAAGACCTCATAATGGAAAAAAGAAGAAGCAGCTCCCTACATTGTGTGCACCTCTGATTTCCCCATTTTCTTGATTTGGCTTCACATAACAACACTCTCAAGTAGCGGCCAAACAAAAGAAGAAAATGATCACCTAGAAAGAAAAAAAAGGCTCCCATCTCCACTAAATACTACCACCTGTACTCCTAATACTATTACTCTCCTACACCCCGCGCCATCGCCATCACACAAGGGGAGGGGGTGAGGCAGTTTGCAAAGCATAGCCACCTTCCCTGTTTTTCTGTTTCTTTCCTTCCTTCAGCTTTTCACCAAACCGCCTTTTTCATCAAGTTGTGCTCGGGACGTGACGTTTTTCCCCCAAATGTCTCCACCTCCCACCACGAGAAGTTCAATACACGAGGCGCATCACTTTTCTTCCTCCACTGCAGCTTATGCATTCCCGACCCTCTTCCCTACGACCTGCATGACGAGCTTAGAGGACTGTGGGCAGCGGACCAGGGCTGTGACCGCTCTTGTCCTCGAAAGGAATCTCAAGCGGCAGCAGTGTGCTCTTGCCACCCTCCCTCCACTTGCTGTCGTGCGGCCCCACCAAAAGCTCCTCCTCGCGGCCCATCGACTTGACGTACTCCAGCCATGTGTCGTTGGCCGCCACACCAAGCTTTGTGAGCTGCCGGTACGGGTCCGTGATGTAGTACTCCGGAGCACGGTGGATCCAGCGGTAGACAGGCTGGTCGATCTCGTGCTTCTTGTTGAAGCGCTGTGCGGCAATCCACGGCTTCGTTGTCCAGAGACCAATATTGTAAAGGGTGATGTCGGGGTGCACGAAAGCGAGGCGGTAACAGAACCACATTGTGTATGCCAACACAATGGCGGTCAGGACGCTGGCAGGAAACGTCTCAACCGATGTGGCCTGCAGACGCATCTTTTCAATGGTACTGACTTCCAACCAGTGCACGTAGCGGCCGTATGGGTTGCGAGAGAAAAAGCCCGTTGCAAAGCCCTGCGGCAGGTAGTTGTAGCGGAAGCGGTAAAGCCAGTGCATGGGCTTCGCAGAAAAGCCCTCCATGTAGCCGGTGCTAACACCGTCGTGCACGGTTGAAATGTACGGGTTTTGGCTGATCGGCTTCACGTAGACGCCATGCTCCACAACATTCGCGCGGGCCATGCCGCCGCAGATTTTGGAGGTTGTACGGGACATGTCTGCAGAGAAACAAAGGTCACTACCACACACAGACAGACAGACAGACAGACAAACAAATCAAGAGAAAAAAAAACCCGAGAAAAGAGCATGGATTCAGGTACGCACTTTACACCAACACTACAGAAATGAGCAGTTCACACGTTCGCACAGACACGGCGAACACCCCCCCCAAAAAAAAAAACACACACACACACACACAAAGGGGGATGACACAGAAAAGGGAACTTCTTCCCGCGGCCAGTTTCAGCACCTCCTCGCCGGTTTATTTCGCGCTGCACCACCATCTGCTGAGGGGGAAAAAAAACACATCCTGTGAGAATATGGGGTGCATATGTGTGTGTGTGTATGTTCCCCACGTATCAAATGGTGGCATATCCATCAAATGTTCTGTGCTGCAGACGCTGCCGCGCTGGCTACAGCCGTTGAACGTCCACTCACGCAGGAGCGACCATCTCGATGTAGCGGCTGTTCACCATGGCGCTGTGGCAGTGTCGCAGCTCCACACGCGTTCCATCTCGCGCGTGTTCCGCGGCGCCGCGGCTCCACGCGTAGTGCACGACCTTGTCGAGAAAGATGTCGCCCTTGTCGGCGTCCACAGCCGACAGTGTCCCCTCCAGCTCGTGGTCCTTGTACGACAGGAAAACAATCACACGCCGTCCGTGCAGACTGAGGAGGAAGTCATGCGGTAGGATCGATTTGGGGTTGTCGCCCTGCTTCTTCTTTGCAGGTGCAGGGGCGACGACGTTGAACCTCACGTTGCTGCTCATCCCTGACACGAGCGATCGAAGGCAAATCAATGAATGAGGGTGTGGAATGAATGAATAAATGCAACCCTCCCACGTGTGCGCCTTGCCGTCACAAAAAAAAGGCCGGACCCTTTCACTACCCAAGCCAGCCTACAGCACGGAATGGCGGAAGCAAGGCAACGGAAACGAAAAAAACCAGGAGAAAAAAAAGGACAAGAGGCCAAGTTTTGGTAAAACGTTTACACAACCACAGCACAGCCAGTGACCCACACGTACCCACGTACAACGCAAACGAAAGCTCCTTCACAAAAATGACTCAAAGAAAAAAAAAACAACAACCGAAAAAAGGTGGCCAGTGTATCCATCCCCGCGCGGTCTGCGTCTACAGACGGCGACCGCGGCGAGAGCCCTTGCGGCGCGTGGAGTCGGTCGGGATCGGCGTCACGTCCTCGATGCGGCCAATCTTCATGCCAGCACGGGCAAGGGCACGCAGCGCGGCCTGGGCGCCGGGGCCGGGGCTCTTCGTGCCCACACCACCGGTCGCGCGCATCTTCACGTGCAGTGCGTTGATGCCGCACTCCTTGCAGCGCGCTACCACATCCTGCGCAGCCATCATGGCAGCGTACGGCGAGCTCTCATCACGATCCGCCTTCACCTTCATACCGCCAGTGATCTTGCAGAACGTCTCGCGACCAGACAGATCCGTCACATGGACGAAGGTGTCGTTGAACGAGGCATAGATGTGCACGACGCCGTACACCAGTTCATCCTTCGCGGCGCTAGAGCCGTAGAACTTAACTTCTTGCTTCTTGGACATCCCGGTGGTACCTGTTTCACCTTCTTCTCAGGTTCGTGTGTATGGTGAAGTGAGGTGGGCGGGCAGGATGGAGAGAAAAAATGAGAGATAAAGAGGAAGACGGAGAGAGATATAAACTGTGGCACTAAGCCACTGCATAAGGTTGAAATTACCAACCCCATCATGAACACCAAAGACTATGACACTGAAGTCGGTTTTTTTTTCTACATAATAGAGAGGCACGCTGCAACAAAAGTGCATGACGCACTCAACCACGCGTTGCTATTTATCCCATGTGATACCGCTCTTCGTGCTTGGGAACAGCCAGTCACAGAGATCTAGGCAAAAGCCGCAGCCGACATCATTCCCAGTAAAGTGCAGAGAGAACCACATTGACATGCATCGACTCCGTAGAGAGCGTGTACGTGGCGTACCCGTCTGTCGCAGGATCCCACAGACCACGAGAGGCAACTCGTATGCCCTGGTGCGCCGCCTCCGTGACGGTGACATGCGTAACGAATTTGTACCGCTCGTACCCGAGGCGCACAACGCGCTGCTGTATCTCACTACAGATGTCCTTAATCAGAGACTGCACCTCATCGTACACATAGGGTCGATCACCAACGAGCGCGTGGCATACCTCCTTGATCACGCTCTCCACAGCGCTTGCGCGAAACTTCCTGCCGGGGCGTGGGAGCGTAATGGACTCCCGTCGTCCTTCACGGTAATCGTTTGCCATCCTGCAGTGACACCGCACAGAAGCAGAATACAATCCTTGCTTGCGCTTCACACGCATGATGGAAAGCACAAAGAACAAAAAAAAAA